TTCATTCCATACCCTCGCCTTAGAAGTTCAGGAACAACTTGGTTAGCTGTTATCAAGATTACACCTCGTGGACGCATAATTGCTGGAGAAGAACCACCCTTGCAAGAAGAAGCGGGTGTCACACAAGTAGAAGTACCTGATCAAGAAACTGATGAAATCTTTCTTATTGATCAGCATAATCATCAATACGAAGATCTTCTTGACGATGTGATGGATGAAACATGTGAAGATGAATTCGAAGGTATAAGCGATGATGATTCTCCTGATGTTGATGAGAACGCGAATGATTCCGAATGATGTAAAATATGTACCATATGTTGTAAAATATGTATCAAATGTTGTTCTTTTATATCAGTACACGATGTGTATTAATATAATAAGTTTAAAAAATATTGTTTGATATAATAAGTTTAAAAAATATTGTTTGATATAATAAGTTTAAAAAATATTGTTTGATATAATAAGTTTAAAAAATATTGTTTGATATAATAAGTTTAAAAAATATTGTTTGATATATTAAGTTTAGGGTTTAGAAACATTTAGAAGAAGAAGAATAAGAAGAAGAAGTAACTTTGGGGTTTAGGGATTTGATATAATAAGTTTAGGGTTTAGAAACATTTAGAAGAAGAAGACGAATAAGAAGAAGAAGTAACTTTGGGGTTTAGGGATTTGATTTTCGGGGTTTCATATATTTCCTAGTTAATTCGTCGTAATGAGAAAAACACGGGCCTGGTACTTTCGTCGTAATGAGAAAAACACGGGCCTGGTACTTTCGTCGTAATGAGAAAAACACGGGCCTGGTAGTTTCGTCGTAATAGAAACACGGGCCTGGTACTTTTGTTGTAAACTTACGACGAAATTACGACGAGAGCAATTATCTATATAAGCACACTCGCATACGAGGCTATTTGCCTCGTTCATTCCTCCTTACCTCCTCTCCCTCTCAAGGTAACCTCCTCTCTCTTCTTTTTTTTTTTTTTTTTTAGTTTAGTTTAGCTTTAGGTTAGATAGTTAATTAGGTGGTTAGTTTAGATGATTAGGTTACGTAATAAATTAGGTGGTTAGTTTAGATGATTAGGTTACGTGATAAATTAGGTGGTTAGTTTAGATGATTAGGTTATGTAATTAATTTTTTTAGATAAACTGATGACTGATGACATTTTTTTTTAATTTAGATGGCTCCTAGACCGAAACCGAAAAACCCACCTCCTTTGTATAGTGAGATGTTTGGTACTGATGGTATCGGGACATCTTCTTCCGGACCGTCGTCTTCTGAGCGTGTGTCGGATTCTCAGGCATATTATCCCGGCCATGATATACCATATCATGAGATGCCTCCACCTTCCGGTCCTACTCGACATCCCGGTCCCATTCCCGATCCCATTCCCGATCCCATTCCCGATCCCATTCCCGCAGGCGGTGATCAGGTTCATCCAGATTTGCGGGTACCTCCCAGTGCACCATATGCTTCCTATACTGTGGAGGATCTTCTTGCCCAACCGGGGCGAGAAGGTTTAGATATTCTTGACCCCGATCGTCCGCGGGGTACTTATTGGTAAGTTTTTTTTTTAATTCTTAATTTTTTATTTATAAACTGATGACTGCTGACATTTATTTTTTTAATTTATATTTTTTCAGGTTTGGAGCAAACAATCGCGTTAGCCGGAGTGTTTCAGACACAATGAAGGGGTATTTTCTCGAGCCCCATCCGAATTGGAGTATGACTCCAGACCACGTGAAGATAACGTGGTTTAAAATGTTTGCGGTAAATATGATTTTATAATATTTAATATTTATTTTCATATTATTTTTTTAATATTTTAAAATCATCTTTTTTTGGTTTCAGCAAAAGTGGCATTCACTACAAGGGAAGGGGGTAAAGATAGCATAAAAAGATAGCGTTTTGGTCGAAAATGCTATCTTTGATATAACTCTTTTTTTAAGATAGCGTTTTATAATGTACATGCTATGTTTTATTTTTTAAAACGCTATCTTTTGTTTAGACAGAAAATAATTTCATTTTCCCGCTAAGTATTTAGTGAAAAAAAGAAGCGGCCGAAATTATGTCGTTTACCCACTCAGTTTAGCTAAAGTAAAAAAAAAAATAAAGAGAAAAACAAATATTTTCACGTTTTCTTTCTTTTTCCCTTTTTCTCCTCTCATCTCAACTCTTCCTCAGATCCTCTCCATTTTTTTTTCTGAAACACGACAGAGAGATGAGAGATGAGACATAGAGAGAGAGAGAGAGAGGGATTGAGATTGCAGGAGGTAAAGGAAGTGACCGGTCTGAAGGAAACCTCCCGGTCTCCGGCCAATACTCCCGACGCGACTTCGTTCTCGCTCCGAGTTCATTAGCAGATCTAAAGTTTCCAGATTTTAATGATATCTGATCTGATTTGTTCTAAGTTTTCAGTCTTTTAGAGTTCTTCTGTTTTATTCCAGTTGTCAGCTTTAAGGCCTGAGAGGACAATGGCAGAACGACGACGCCTCTCTCTCCTTTGCAGCCGTATCCGAACCCAACAGTTACCTCTCTCTCAATCTCTTCTCATGTTTGCTCCTCAGCTGCTCTCTTTCTCTCCAGATTCACTTTTCCTAAACAACAGATCTGAAAAAAATAAAGTTCTTAAAGTTCGTATCTTTATGTAGGTTCTGGTGATTCTTCTTCAAAGACAAGATGATATCCACATCCCAATTCCATCTTTAATAAAATCTCCTTCCGACTAAGAGGCTTGTAACGAGCAAAGGATCCCCACGATGATCACTTGGTGCCATAGAGAGGACTTCGCTCAGAGATGGGAAGAAGAGGAGACGACAGAAGAAGAGGAGATGTGATAGAACCAAAATCGGGATCACTCTTTCGGTAAGGTTGATATGGACTCAGATCCGGAAGGATTGAGAACTGGTGGGATGAACGGTGACACAACGGGTTGCGGAAGGCCCGATGATACTACCAGACTTCAATTGTTGCCGGATGTGACGCACCGGTCCAACAAAGGAAGGATCGAAACTTGGAGATAACCTCACCNGTCCAGGTTCAAGCTGGTCGTGCACACCATGCTGGGAAGGATACGGACACACGCGGGACGATCCACACATGTCTGAATTCGCGAGAACTGAACATCACCTGATTTGTACATGGCATAACTCCCTTATCTGAACTCTGTTTGATCTGATTCTTCTTCGAGGAGTTCCATAATTGAGTTGAGCACATTCTCCAAGTGGTTTAAAGTGAAGAAACATCATGGTTTAGAAGATATGCTTCGAACAATGAACATATATCTGTGTTGCTTCTCGGGTGGTTTGATGGTCGATCCAGTTTGGAAGGTCGAACCAACTTGCTCAGCTCGTCCGGGTGAGTGTTATTCCAGCTCAGCTCATCCATGATAGTGTCAGTCCAGCTCACTTGAGTATCCAGCTCATCCAAGATTGCATAATCTGATGAGAAAACCTCGGCTAGGTCTAGCTGGTCGACAAGGTCACCACCTTGGGCCGTGTCCATGAACCAAGAAGGACGGTGCTGGATTTTGGGTGCATCATACTCTCCATCTTCAAAAGGATTTGTCCTCAAATCCATTTTACCTGAATCAAAAGAAAATGAATCAGACAAAAAGAATTTTAAAAACAAGCAAAATTCAATGAAGGATAAATTTGGAGAGAAACTTCCTTGGAGTTTCCAACTTGTTCTCCTTAAGTACTTCCAGTTCCATGTTCCAAGAACACTAGTGTTGTGCCAATCTCCTCTGCTTTCTTCCATCTTTGGTTCTTTGAGAATCAGCAGCTCCAACGGTTTCTCAAATGGTGAACACTTTGCAACCTTTGGTCTGGCCGGTTTTGGTGGAAGGTTCATATCTTCATAATCCCAAGGCCATTCCTTCTGATTTTGATCTTTATGAGAAGCTGAGAGAACCATCATGAATAATATGATCGGTTTTGGATCAGGCCGCCTCTTTCCTGGGCCTAAATCTCCTTGGGAAATCTGGTACTCGCGGATAGATGGACTGGAGAACCTCCGGTTTGAAAAATTCATAACTCCTTCCTCCGTGAATATTTTCAAGTGATTCCAAGCCTCAGTGAATCCTTGAGGAGTTGGATTTCCAGGAAAATTGGATTGAAGACAAAATACCTTCTGAAAGTCGAGATATCCTTCGTGGACTGAACCTCTGTCGCTGGCATCTCCAAAGTAGCCGGTTTGGACAACAATGCTTCTCCAAAACTCAGGCTGTTTGGCACGATCAATGCTTTCATTCAGAGGCTGAACCTGTCTTTCCTGGATACTCAAAACAAACACTAAAAGACCAGGATCAAATGTGCAAGAGAGATACTTGTTCAAATCAAACATCAAAATATATTTTCCAAGAACAAGTAGCACATATCTAAGCCTTTCAAGGTGTTCATCAAAGTAGATATTACAGACCAAAATTTTCACAAGACATGCAACAATATGAGACAATTTCAGAAAGAGCATATCCTGCTCAACATCTGAACACACAAGCTTAAGTTCAGATTGACA